TCTCTCTCTCTCTGTCTCTCTCTCTCCGTTTTCTTTTATTCCTTTTTACGTAAGAGGATTAACTTGGAGTTGGTCGATTTTTTGCACGCGTGGATTGAATTGGTTTGATAGGATTCAATGGGGAAATTGAGAGTATATGAAATTACATATACTCTTTTTATCAGGTATCCTGTTATATCTAGGAGTTTAAGATTTTACAATTTTAAAGTTAAAGGAAATAGATATATAATTTTAGATTTCTTAGATAAGGCTTTCTAAGTTGCTATTATTTTAAAGTCGAAAAAAGCTTCGTATATTTCATAATGAATCGTGGAAAAATGTTAAATAAGATATTTCAATTATGTAAAGCAGAATATTTAAATAATTTTTCAAAATTTGATAAAAATCTTTGAGGTATAGAAAATAATTAGACAACGCACAATTATCTTTCTATCTTATATTAATAAAAATTAATATTAATTTTCCCAAAAGCGATATAATAGAAATAAAGAATCGAAAACGTATCGATTTAAAACTTTTGACGTTAAATAGAAATGAATTCTCGAGCAAAGAGAATAAAGAGATAGAAATAAAAGATTATAAAATTTATTACAATCACAAGAGTATTTCACGATCGATCGACAATTCCTTCGTATCGAATAGAATAGCGAAATAGAGATTACGTATTACATATCTGACTAATTAACACCGTACCAACCGTATCAAGAACGATCTAATTACATAAAACATTTCTATTAAACCGGTGATGTTCAATCTCCCCTTTGATAGAAGCACAGTGTGGACATTGCTTTACTAATGCCTAACAGGCATTGCCAATAATCATCCAGGTAAACGTATTAATCGATGCCACGCTACGTGTAACTCTGACATTCACCTCGTGGCTATGAGATGACGATGAGAGTGATATGGAATCAATAACGATCATCGTTGATAATTCACAAAATAATACTTTGTATCATTAGTCACGTAACTTCAAACGTGTTACGATCTCTTTATTCTTTCTCTCTCTCTCTCTCTCTCTGATACAAGACAGCTGTAACTAATATTCGATATTATCTGAAGGGCCACGAATTAGTCGAATTAATTCGATTTCCTAATAAGATGGTGATAATATAGTTAGCGAGAGGTGTATATTTGTGTGTAAATTTGCAGTGTAATGTTTCGTCATGTTGTATATATTGAAAGAAAATGTAATTTTTATTTGAAAATTGAATTGAATGGATTCGTTTCGTTTGATTAAAAAAAGAAAAAAAATATGAAAATGTAACTAAATCTTGTGTGTCGATATTGTAAACTATACAAATTTCAAACTTTGTACGATCTTTTCTTGATAAATTTTCCAATTTATTTGTTGAATCTTTTAAATGGATGAATATCTTTTAAAGAAATTAAATTTATTATTATTCTATCATAAATGCAACTCGTTGTGCAACATTGTACCTTTTCTTACAAACTAGTTACATTTATTTGATTCATGTTCGATTCTATAGAAACGGATATAATTGAATTTCAAGGTGTTCAAAGATTCAGATACATAAAATATTCCATATCCAATATGAACGATATGATCCCTGTTTCCTGCGAGAGAATTCAGTGAACGCGAGAAAATTTCCTCAAAGTATGAATGAACTTCTGTTGGAACAAGTATTCTGTGGAGAGCATAAAAGAGCTAACCAAATGGCTCTTCGAAATGGCACCTCGAGTTTTCCATCCGAAACCAGACACACAAAGACGTTACTCGTCGTACTCCAAACTAGACTTTTAATTATAATAATCGAACTATCAAATCAAACAGCAAGAAAAATAATAAAATAAAATGCAATTCCAATGTATTCAAGAAACGTACCTAAATAGACACAATTTCTTATACAAAATAATAATCCACTTCTCTTAAGACGAAGACCTTTCCAAATATAAAATCTCATTCAAAATTCTCCTCTAATCGAAACGCCAAAATCGAATTTCCAAAACGGAAATATCCCTCCAGTTATCCCTGCCTGCGCCATATTAACAATATAACCAGGATACGGAGAAACTTAACTCGTGCAACGAACAACGAGTTTCAACAACGAGTTTCTGCAACGAAATCGACGGAGGGGAAACGCGTGCTTGATTCTGTAATCCTTTTGATAAGCTTAAACGGGAACAGGTGCTCGTTCCATCGGGGGGAGATCGATCGTTCGATTAGAAACAGCGAATTACCTTTGGCTGCAGCCAGAGACGAGGAATCTATTCGGGCGGTAATTATTAACCTCGTGACGTCGGTTATTCGCGCCTTTCGGTTACACGTTGTTTCGTACGTGTTACACGACTTCCTGCTGCATTATGCATATTCGACGGGAAACAAGCCTCGCGCGGCGCATTAAGCCACTGGCTGACTGACACGCCTCGATTCCAACCGGATGGAAGCGAATATCGACGAGATGGATCGATATTTTTGAGGAAAGAGCTTTAAGTATTTTTTTTTTATTTAATCTTTCAATTATTATATCGAATTATATATTAGCAATGTTATAGTTGTATGATATTAAAAGTTTTATTATAATTTATATTGGAACTAGACAGTTTTACGTTCTCGAATATAACCATTCTAATTTTCAATTGTTACAGAAATTGAAATATATATACATCGTGAAAAAAGAGCAAGGGCCATCGATTTATTGAAATTCTTATTTTTAATCAACGAACTCTACGAGTAAGAGTCAATCGACAAGTTTTAAGAAAATTAGGCGAAAGAAGAATTAACAGGATGAAATTTGTAAACTGATTTTAATTTCTGCTCGTGGATGAAACGATTTCGATGCTGAAAAAGGTGTGTACCAATAATCAAGATGGAAATTTTTAACGAATTAATTTCGCCTTCAGGGAGAGAAAACATGTTTCAGGAAATGTTTCAATGCGTGTCTGTTTTTTTCATGATTGTTTGCGAATTCTTGTGCGAAACTTTTTGGAACTTGTCGTCGAGAGAGAATATTATCGAGAATACTTAATTACGAGTGATATCAAATCGTTTTAATTATTTACATTATCGTTGTTAATTCTCGCCCGGTGTAATTATCGTGCAAAAACTTCTTGCCGAGGAATCTGTCTGAAATGCTTTTAATTGCATCTCCCGTATCGCGAGAAAGTGTAGTCGCGAAATTAATTATGAAACGATCCTCCGGCCAAGTTGGTGGTTTCCTGTGTAGGAAAATTCTGTGACGTGTAATCCGGCGCGAGCAACAATTTATTTTATTAATTGCCTCGCGCAAGTTCGTCAGCGTGGAAAATAAATTTTCGTCGATTATCTTAAAGGGAATTGTGTCTTGGAGAATTTTTTTTTTTTTTTAATGAAATTTCGTGTTACCTCGTGGTAATGAAAGGGAGATGATCGATGATAATAAAAGAAAGAAGAAATTGGTAATATTTTTTTCGCGTTTTATTTTGTAAGACTCGAGAAACTTTGGATATAAGAAAATTATAAAATCACGAATTTCTAGAAAATTGAACGAGTTAAACGTAAGCGTATTCCATATAAAAAGATGTAAATAAGAATAGTTTAAAGAGAAATTTTTTATTTTTTATAGATTTCCAACTCTTCTCTGCTTGATTAGAGAAGAAATGGAAAAAAGAGAGAGAAAAGAAGAAACGTGGAATACAAAATAAAGTTCTCTTTTATTATCAAAATGGAGAAACCTATTGAAAGAAAGTGCGCGTCTAGCAATGCATAGTGACGTGAATAATTGAAGTGGAATATTCGAAAATTGAATTTATTTTTCCCTCTCCAAAATATCATTTTCCCTACAACATCCATACAACATGAAACATCTTTCGTTCATCGAAAGACAAGAATCAAAAATAAGAAAAAACTTGAACATTTCAATTTCCAGAGAAATATCTAAATAACCCAATAAGAATGATCCATAGTATCTACAACGTCAAGAATCTCAACATTCTCCTATTATATTACAATCAATAAAATCCTACGAATCCCATAAAATCCTCGATTGAAACGATCTACTATTTTCAAATAAAAGCACATCTTGGCTAACTTTCGAAATTATATTTTACCATTTAAAAAATCATTTTCTTAAATCAAATCGCTCTTCCAACCACTTCCAACCTGTTACTTCCAAATCCAATCCGCTCCCCTTTCCCCAGAGAGAGAGAGACTCCATCCATCATCGGTCAAGAGCAGCTGCACAACCCCCGAGATGAAGTATCGCCGGCTTACAACCCGCATCTTCTGTTTATCTCGCAGGTGTCCTGGATGCGCAAAAGGGACATGCACATCCTGAGCGCGGGCATCCTGATGTACACCTCGGATCTAAGGTTCCAAGTGATCCATCCGGACAAGTCTGAGAACTGGACCCTGCAGATCAAGTCGCCCCAGGAACGGGACTCGGGGGTTTACGAGTGCCAGGTCAGCACCGAGCCCAAGATGTCGTTGAACTACAGCCTCAACGTGGTCGGTGAGTGAAGTATTGTGAATAATTCATGTTCGTCTACCTTTTCAATTCACCCGCCCAAAATCCTCCCCCCCCCGATATTCGATCGGGGAGGGGCAAATGGTTGATCTTTCGAGTGAAACTGAGGTAACGGCTCGAGTCGTAATCGCGGATTACGGCTTGAATTTTTAACCCCCGATTTGTAAATCGTTACCGCCGTTCAATTTCAGCCCCCCGTGGAGAAGAAAGCGTCAATTCGTGTTGTTGTTTTCAGAAGGAAGAAGAATTATCGGGGAATTTCCGGGGGGAAAAAAGGGAAAATTGTTGAAAGGTATTTTTAATTCACTTGATTGAATTTTTATTTTTATTCAATTATTGTATTACGATTAATTTAAATACATCTTCGAATAATATCTTGAGTAAGGGATCTTGACTCGACTCTTCGAATGATCTTGATCCTGAGGCGAATAAAGTTACTTTTACTTATCGAAATGGTCAAATAACATTTATTCGTAGATATTATATATAATCTCATCCGTTTGGCGTTACAATTGTTTGCAATTATTATTACGTTTCAATAAGAATAAAGTTACTTTTACTTATCGAAATGGTCAAATAACATTTATTCGTAGATATTATATATAATCTCATCCGTTTGGCGTTACAATTGTTTGCAATTATTATTATTACGTTTCAATAAGAATAAAGTTACTTTTACTTATCGAAATGGTCAAATAACATTTATTTATAGATATTATATATAATCTGTTACAATTGTTTGCAATTATTATTATTAGGTTTTCAATTAGAATAAAGTTATTTTTACTTATCGAAATGGTCAAATAACATTTATTCGTAGATATTATATATAATCTGTTACAATTGTTTGCAATTATTATTATTACGTGATATAATAATAAGAATAATAATAAGATAACAATAAGAATAAATTATAACAATAATAACATAAGAATAACATAAGAATAAAGATAATAACAATAAGAATAAATTATCGAAGTAAGTAACTACTCATTAATTCATAAGGTTCAAGTAACCAATATTATCTCTCATAATCAGATCTAATTTAATTCAAGACTTTCTTCTTTAACGTAGAGCTCGTCCAAAAGTACGAATGCTTTCGATTCACTGGAATCGAATTTTTTCGACCGTGTGGCGCTTTAATCCATGCGAAACGTCAGGGGGTGGAACCGATAACGGGGCGTTATTTCTCGTTCCTTCTTCCCGCGAAATAAAATACCGAGGCCGGGAATAAGTTATCCCGCTATCGGAATCCCGGAGTTAAGGCGCGCTATAAACAAGCTAACTCGATCCCCCTCCCTTCCCAACCCCTTCCTCGTATTCCGGAAGGCTTTCATATTGGCATAACTGGGGAACTTAATCTTTGCAGTTCGATAACTCCGCAACTCTTGCGCCCTGATTTCTCGTAAACTTTCCATCCTTGGCCACCAGTGTGCCAATTCCTGCTCTGAATTAAAAGCTTGCGACGAATTATGTCCATCATCGACTATTTTCTCAGAGGAATTCTCTATGCGAGTGGAATGGTATTATCAAAAAGTGTGCAAACTAATTTTGAGAAAATTAAATAATTAATCCCTAGATAGAATCTTAATTTAATTAATCGTAATATTTTTAGGTAAATGGTTATGGATTAATTAATTAGTTTTAATTAGTTGATACGTGATGAGTGATTCTTTCGATGGAAAGGAATTCTATATCCCCAAATATCAGAAAGTCACAAGCTACATTTTTTCAATTCGATTCGCAAACCTCAGCTATGAAAACATCCCTAACGAACTTCAAATCCTGGAAATCAAACAAAGAAATAAAAGGAATCCAGCCGCAATTCACGAAAATTCTCCAAACCACCGCCAAAAAAAGCCAATAAATTCCAATTTTCCAAGCTGTTTCTCCATCACCATCCAACAACCCCTATCACGAGCCACGAGTGTCACGGGTGGAAAGGAACTTATCTACCCTGCTCGAACAACCCCGATGCAGATGCAGAGAGAAGCGTTGACGTTCACATCTTTAGATAACGACGAAACAGAGGACTGGCTGAAAGAAAACCGAGTCCAAAGGATTCTCCCCTCCTCCCCTTGAAAACAATCCTGGACGAGGGCGGATAAGCGGCTTGATGGAAGCCGCCTCGACCAAACGACTCCCTTTGCCCCCCTCTCTTAGACCCACTCCTTTTGTAGATCTCGCAGAATCTCGTGCGTGGTCTTCGTGATACAAAGTGAAAATGACCGAAAATGTTCTTCCCCTCAGCGAGGGAGAAGGGAGAAAGCGCGAAATAAATCGTCGTTTCCTTCCATCCCCCGTTTACCCCGTAACTCGTAAAGCATGGACTCGATGGCGAAATCAATTTTGCAAATCCGTCGTGGCAAAAACTATACGTCTCGAAACTTTACGCGTGACGTCTCTCTCCCGTAGACGAGAGATTTGTTGCCTGGAGGGGTGAGAGAAAGAGAGAGAGAGAGAGAGAGTTGAATGGAACGTGTTTTAGTTGGGTTAACAGTGTTTGTCCGTGGTGATAAGTTATAAGGGATTTGCGCTAGGAAATGTTTATTCGAATCTGAAAAAAAATTCCCTTTATTGGGTTTTATTCGATTTTTCTTTTTTTTTTTTTTTTTGGTGGGTAATATCTTTTAATTTGATATTATTGTAGGGGATGAATTGTAGCGAATGATGAATGGATCGAAGCTTTTGTTTGTTTCTTCTGTTCGCGACGTGGCAATTTTTTCGCGTAACGCGGTTCAATAATAATCGCAATTCCTTTCGAACAGGATGCTTTGATCACGTTTCAAAATTTTTTGTTAAGGTTCTTGATAAATATCGCCTCGTAAATATTCCACGTGTACGCATAAAGTGTAATTGTACTGCTCTAATTAGGTTAAGTTTGATTATCGTATGTGCAAGGTAATGGATTATCATTGAAAAATTGAATTTTGTAATTTTTTTAAAAATTGGATCGAAGGATTCTTTAAAAATTTATATATTATTTATTTTACGCATAAATTGAAAGTGAAAGTTTCAATCGGATAATACGCGATAACGAATGTGCCTCATACGTGTGAAATTATAAGAGGGCTCGTTTGAAATATAGAACAAGAAACGATAATTCCTGTTATAATTCAACGGATAAGAGGAAAGGATACTTTATTGTAATATCACAGGTTTAGTATTGAATTATATCGTAACATAAATTTAACTATTTTACATATCAAACTATAAATATCGTTCAATTACACTATTTACCATTATATGTAAATCAAAAATCATGTCGCGTATATTATCGTTATCCAAATTAAAGCGATAAATCGACATCGATTTGTATAATCATTTAAAGAGGGAAGAAAGGATCTGTGAATTTTCTATTTCCCAATCGAAACACGACTTTCGATTTCCAATAATTCGAAATGATCCAATGATAATTCGATATCATCGATCCACAAATGATCCAAAAGGATATATAATAATTTTCAATTATTAAAGAAAAATTTCACCAGCGATTCTTCGAAAACGTGATATAATCGAACAATTTTTCCAAAAATCCGCTTAACTACGCTTCATCGATTTCTCTTTTTACATCCTTCGACACCCTTTTCCCTTCGCTTCGCCATTCGATTCCAGGATCTCCTTCGTTCAATTCACATGACCGCGATCTTCTGGAAAAGACTTTAAAAATGAGGAAAAATCGCGACGATTCTTCGTTAACATTTTCGTTTCGAGAGAAGATTAACCTCTGTCACGAGTCTGTAACCAATTTGTAACCAATATGATCGAACGAACATTTTAAATTTATTTTAATGATTCACCTTTGTTGAGATAAATATATTCTAAATAGAATAACATGTTCCATCTTTGCTTAAGACTCGTCCAGTTTCTTTCGTTGATCCGGTTGATCCTCTTAAACAGAAACTTCTGATGGAACGTTCTCAGATCGGTATATAAATATATAGCGACGAATATAGGAGATCTAAGAACTTTAATATTGGATCGGTGGCATTTCGGTGATTAACAACGTGAGAATGAATAGACGATAAAAATTTTTCATTGTAAGAAAAGCTGGTAGTTCTAATGGGAGAGAAGAAATTGATGTTTTTTTTCAATGGTAACGGAACGAAGTAAGTGTGAAAAGAAAGAAGGATCGCATTGGCAACGAGGTAACAAAGAGTGAAGTTTGGCAAGGGAATGAATTTGAACTGTTTCTCCTATCGAGGGGAATCGATTCTCTTTTCTCAGAATTTTATTCCTTTATTTTTTTTTTTTTTTTTTCCAACCACTCGAATCGAAACATCTATACATCGTTCGTTGATAGAATCGATACGATACCGTTCTTCATCCTGTTTATTATTTATTAACGAAACAACGATTTTGATTCCACATTATGGATTGCTCGTTTCTTTTTATATTCGAATATAGTTTTTACGGAGCGAAATTTTTCCACTATCGGCATAAATCCAACGAACCAAATTTATTCCTCTATTCAAACCTTTCTCAAAAATTCGCCAACCAATCCTTCTATCTATATATCTCCTATGATCCCAGAACAGTTGGTCTATCTAAAAGATTTTTCATTTTTCGAATCGCAATTACCTCTTGTTATAACTGATTAGCGATAATATATTCGAGGATGTTGTAATTATATATGTATATATCTTTTAATCAAAGCATTAAAGATATCCATCGACGTAGCGATATTTAAAATCGTTCGTGGTATTTCTTTAATTATAAACAAACGTATTTTTCTCAACCATGAAATTCAAATGGTAAAAATAATAAATAATTAATCTTTTCGTGAAATTAGAAAGAAAAATTTCGTATACTTCCAATTATTGATTAACGAAACATATACAAATTTTTCCTATTGTGAATTTTTTACTTTTATTATACCGTGAAAGGGTTTCAATGGTGATGCGATAACGCTTTTTATTACGATTCCAGAAATTGGGGCAAAGTTAAACTTTATACAGTTTATACAGCATCGATACAACTCTGAC